TTTGCAATGATTCTCCTTTGTTATCCTGAGCCACGTAAACTTTTTCCGTAAGTTCATCGGGAACGGAAACAAATGTGCGATCGGAAACGGGCTGGTTGTGATCTTTTTTACCTGTCGGATGCAAGTATGCACAATCAGGCCTCCGACACTCGTAACCATATTTGCACTACAAACGATGGGGAGATTAATATCATGTCACGAAGATAAAAAAAAAAAATAATAATAAATAAATAAAAACTCTCAAAAAAAAAAAAAAAAAAAAAAAGATTGAAAATATTTTTGCAAAGTTACTGGTATATTCGTGTCCATTTCCATATCCCATGGATGCATGAAAAGACAGTCGGGTCGCGTACAAAGGGCACCGTTGCGGCAAGGGGTTGGAACTTTAGCAACAGTTTCGCTATGTCAAGAAAAATAACAGTAAAAATGCGTGCTAATGTATATCGTTGAATTAAAAATAAGAAACGACCGCATACACACCTATAGTCCACGTGTAGATAGGGGCATACCGGATTCTTACAATTCGGGTAAAACTTGCAGGGGGCAATCACTGATGGAATGATGTGTGCAATGTCGGTTAATCGTAAAATTACAAAGAAATGAATTAATCAAAAGTATCATTGAAAAAAAAAACCATACAATTAGCCGGAGAAGGATGAGAGTAACGACATTTTGCCTGTCCGCATTCGATTCCATACTTGCAAGGTATTTCCAACAACGATGAAGGGGTAATTCCAGTTCCAACACTCGCAGGACTAACATGCGCATACACACAATTAGGATTCGCGCAACGTTCTCCGTATTTACATGAAACTGCAAGGGACGATTGAGAACTTGGAGCCAATGTATCATCTTTTTCTTGAGCTGGTTCTGCCGAAACACTACTAGAAGTCGCGGTAATTGAAGCGTTCGTATTAATCGTTGCCGTAACAGATGTGGATCCAGCACCGGATCTGAAAGGTTTTTGTTCTTTATCACGCAAACCTTGGAAATCTTGTTCTTGTCCAGAAATATTCTCAAGGGTGTTCGGCCCAATAGGGGCCGCACCGTATATATCTATTCCAATTAAGCTTGGTTGAAAGTTGAAAGATCCTGGATTAAACATGCCTTGATCCATTCCACCATGCCCAAAATGACCCATGTGATTTTGTCCAATTGTGTCAATTCCGAAAACACTTGGACCCATTCCAAAGGTCCCTTGCCCCATCGATCCATCTCCGTATGAACCAAACCTGTAAAATCCTCGATTCTCAAAATCCTGGCTCGCTGGATGAATATATAAACACGTTCGAGGTGAATTTGGACAATTCGGGACCATTCTGTCATATCAATGTACATCAATTAATTTAACTTGATGGAAATCACGAAAATGCATAAAGGAATGTGTAAAAACGTACGGGCAAATTTCGGTCGGATGATGAAATTTACAAGCGGATCCAAGGTCGCAATTCGGCCAATGACGACAACGAGAAACTTTGGGAGTTAGTGTTATACTGTCATTTGATTGTGCAGGATCGGAACCACCGTTTGAATTTGGAAAAAAAGCTGGGTTGATGTAAGCAGTCATAATGCCCCCCTTTTTGCCTAGCCGATCTAACACACTTCTTGATTGTTGTGGAAGCGGCCTCGAATTCATTTGGGTGCGTCGCTCATTCACTATATGAGTTTATAAGAAACCTGATGTTAACCCGATCGGACTGGATCTTTAAACCACTAACTAGAAATCTAAATTTCTTACCAAATCTACTACGCTCTCCGTCTTGCAATGAAGGATCATACGCCTCATGATCACTGGAATAATGCTCATTTTTCGTGTGGAGACTTCTCTCGTAAGATTGTGACCGACTTTCATCTATACTCGAATCACCCTCGACCCTCCGGGCTTTGTTTTTTTGATCATCTCTGAAGCTTTCTATGCTTGTACTATAGGGACGCTTACTTTGATGTACTATATTGTCTGAGCTATTCTCGTCTAGTAAACAAGGAGTATCTTAAAATTTGACGAGAGTGCAAAAGTTCCAATTTTTGATTGTGAGAATAAGCGATCACTAACCATACTTTTCCCCTGTTCCTTTTGAACTTCTGCTTGCATCTTTCACCGCATTGATAAATAAACGCGAAGCAGCGGCAGATCCACCTCCCGATCGCCTGCATAAAAATTTAAAAGAAAGTAAGAAAAAGTAACGGATAATGGTCTTTTCAAATACTCTATTAACATACCTCTGTGAAGACCGCCCATTAACACTTCCAACGACTGATCTGATTCGTTGCGGCTCCACTGATTCACTTGAATACATTATGGTGTGAGATTAAAATAAATGGGCTATGTATGTAACCTACGTATTTAAGATAAACAAAATGAGGTGACATGATAGTAAATTTGTGATTATTCAGAGGGTCATTTATTCAAAAATGGTTAATGGTAATAATATATCTATATTTTTTTTTTTATCGACTATTAAATCGTATAAAAAATAATTTGTCCTTATTACAATATTTTAATATGACAGATTATGTTCAAATCTTGTTTAAAGAAATGTGATGTTATTTAAATAAACAAAAAATATAATTTCAATAAGCAGATAGAAGTATTAAAACTCTTTAAAAAGATATTAATACTTGTGTAGATTAATATTGTTATCTATTCAATATAATCCAATTCAAATTTGTTTTCTTTATATAACTAATAAATATCACAAATTTTATATTTTGTACTTACCTATACCCAGATAGTAAGTTCTTATAGATATTTAAAAAATATATTTAGACATATAAGATGATTAATAGAAGCTTGTTTATGTCTTGATTACTGATATGGTTCTATTATCCAATTACTGTATAAGAAATTTTGTACTACTCAAAATTCAGGATTAAATTGAGATAAATAAATTTATTAGAAAAATTTATAAAAAAGTATTATTAGAACTTAAATAATAATAAGAAAGTGATAGTGTTTTATTCAATATATTTTTTAATTATATATAATGATTTTATATTGTTTCTATAATAGATAAAAAGAAAATAATAGATTAGTTTTATTTTTTTTCAAAATTTTCTTATTATTGATAAAAAAAATTATTTATTTTTTTAATTATTATTATTTTTTTTTTTAATCCATGATCAGACCAGTACTGTGTATTTATTAATCATTAAAAAAATCAATAAAGATATATAAGGCAATTGCATCATAGCTAAACTAAAAAACTTGTACTAATACACTCGTCAATGGCTTTCAATTCTTAAAAGAGCTTTAGCCTTTAAGTACAATCTTGGAAACAATATTTCACTCTGAACTAAGTTTTAAGTGAAGATCCTCTTAACTTACCCATTATTGTTAATAGATTGTCACTACTTATTATTCTCTAAGAAATTGAATTCAAGAAATTACAAAAGAGAAAGAAAAAATAAAAGAAAAAAAGAATATTTAAAAATATGCAAATACACTATATGAAAATGAAAAGGAAAAAATAAAAATAAAAATACTTCGTATTCTTCAAAAGATCTCAACTAAAAACCTCTTCTCATTAGAAGTCAACTCTTCTGAAATATTCTTCTTCTTTCAGACCATCTGATTAATTTGCTATCTATATTCTTAATTATTTTCTTATAACTATTTGAAGTACTTATCGCCTACTCAGATCCAGTATCCTGCTCAACAATTTCTTTCTTTCAATCTTAATTTTGTATTTATCCACACATAAGAAGATGACTAATAGTGAATCCCAAATTCTTATGTGATTTTTTAGTCTTATTAAATAACTTCTGATATCTTCCAGCAGCCATACCTAGTTAAAGGAATTTTACTGGTGTTCGTCTTGATTGCAATATCATTATATAATATCTGGAAAAATGCATTCACAATCCTAGAGAAGAGTAGTGTTTTACATTTCTTTACTTTTTGATTTTACAACCTAACTGGGATAAGAAAATAACCTTCTTCATATACTTTACTTAACTGGGATGATAAGAAATTGAAGGTCTTGATTTGAACAAATAACTACCTTTTCACTATCTAGAGAATTTAGTATCTATCCTAATGGCCTCATAATTTTTTTGCCTCAATTAAACTTCATTTGGAAGAGTAAAGAAGTTAGTATACTTGATTTCTCTTTCAATCACTAATGATATTATCAGAACATGTAAGGTGATCAATAGAAGCTTGTTTATATTCAACTACTAATGTATTTTGTATCAACCAATCAGATACCAGGTGATGTTGTACTACTAAAAATTTAGGGTCATACTAAGATAGGCAAAATCCTTCAAGAAAATTGTAAAAAATAATAGGTACTTTAAGAGAATATAAGACAGTATATGAAAAGGTAGAAAATAAGCATTTCCCTATCAACAGAATCTCTATTTCTTGTTGTTTTCAGTTCTGTAAGGTAACACTCCACTTGTCAGTTTTTTTACTTCCTAGAACCTTCTTATCTTTAGTAGTAAAAGTATATACTTGAGTCTTTTTAGGCCATTAGAGACTCAAGTTTTTATTCAAAGAAGTTTATAAACAAGTAAGAGAGAGTAGAAAGAATAAATGAAGACAAGCTTCAAATTATTTTAATGAAAGTATAAAGACTTTATTAGCAAGGAAGTATAAAACTTCATGTAAACATCTTTTTTATGTGTGATTAGAGGATTAACAAAAAGAGTTTTATAATATAAATTATTTGTTTTTTTAATTATTAAAAGATAAGTTTATTATAAAAAGATATAAAAAAAATATAAGAGTTATAGAATACTTTTTTCACTGATCCCTAGGTTTCTTAAAAATTTCATTTTTTGATAATTTTTTTTGAAAAACAAGAAAAATCAGCTTACACATACAAGAAAACACTTTTACATACAAAAACCTTTGCTCTCAAGCAAGTTTTATACTACATATAACCAATCAGTAATAAATATCAAGGAGATTTAAAGAAAATCTATCTTTCCTACACAAAGTTTCTTTCTTTACAGAGAAAAGAAAAACACAAGAATACTGATTCACAATAAGCTTTTTGAGACCTAATCTCAACTCCACAAGCTCTTAGCGAGGCCAGTATAGGGTAACACCTTTCTTGATACTAAGAAAAGTCTTGCAAACAATAACTTAAGCTGATAAATCAGTTTAAGTTCAAGGTTTACAACACCTAGGAGGATGTTCAAGCCTCTTTTGCTCAACAGGATAGAGTTTCAAAACAACACAACAACTGATTACATCTAAAACACATAACGCAAAATTTGTCATATCTGTGTTATCATAACAACAAGCTTATGTGACAAATATAAACTCCAAAACAAACATGTTTTGTTTATAACCCTCATATCATATCTATTTTTAGATTTGATAAACAAATCAATCATCTCTAAATAAGTTCTGTGACAGTAAAACAACTGCAGTTTATTTTGGTGATACATAAACTTTAGACTAATTCATCTATCAAAACAGTCAATAAGTTTTTTTGCATCACGTAATCTAGACATGTCAATTAAAAGACATAGAATAATGCAAGTGACAAAAAAGAGGAAAGCATATATTATGAATATACTGATTTGACTATCAAACAAATTTGATCAACATAAAAAACTTTGGGCAACACAAGCTATTTTCAATATAGCTGCTACTTCAGAAACTATACAGAACCCTGCTCCTGAACCAAACAGATACTTAATCCTGAATAGTGTTATCACCCAAATCCTAAATGTTGATCAGATTACCTTTGTCAAAACCACAATTCTTAAGCAACATATCCTATATCTGTGGACTCAAGGACAAGAAAAAGATGAAGATCTTCTAGAACCATATCTAGAAGACAAATATTTTGATCTAATCGAACAGGAGAAACAATTACAATACATCTTCTATGAAATATCAATAGCCCAATCTATGATGAATGGCAATTTTTATAATACAAATCTGGAAAATGATATGGATGTTCAATCAACTATAACAGTAGAAATTTCTAGTAATACTGAAATAGAAATGGGTGACAAGGAAG